CTTATATATACTTATATATGTATGTACTCTTTTTGTAACTCAATGAATATATAAAATATTGGAATGGATCATTGACTTGTTACTCACGCTGAAACGTCGTAACCTCAAACTTGGAACCGCAGCTACGCTAACGTAATTCCGCTTCCTGAGACTCGGGTGGTGCTCCAGCGCCAGGGTGATGATGACAAAACGGAATACATTAATGCCAATTATGTGCGGGTAAGTCAGACGAATGGATCTCCTAACTAAGCAATAAATAAGCTATCGAAATCAATTACAAATCCGAATAGAGGATACCCTGTACGCAGCGCCAATCTTATCTAATCTAATCAAAATTTATTGGTTTTTCTATTTGAATTATATCAACTATTTGTTTAACAATATGTTTATATAATTAAATATAAGGACTTTAACAAAGGGGTATAGGAGTAGGATATTATTCTTTGAGCCACGAACAACATTTGGGATTATTGTTTTTACACTTTTAGAGGACTATTTAAAGAAGTTCGTATGAGTAATATATGATTAACAAAAAGAAATATACCCTTGTCCAGTCAATACAGCGATTACAGGGTATATAAAACAATCAAGAGCTGCCTCCCACAGCCGCAGCAACAACTTTCTCACATGTGTGTGGGCGGTGACTGTGTATGTGTGCGTGTATTTATGTGTTTATGGGTGTGTGTGTGTGTGTGTGTGTGCCTTAATCTTACAACGGTACTGAACAGAGCTGCCATCGCGTCTAGCCTTGCATGACGTGTGCTTGTGCAGCGGCGAGTCTTATGAGAGGGGGGGCATAATTATACGGCCCATGAGATTAGCCAAGTGCCAAGAAAACTGTTTCAGCCTCTTTGTTGCATGGCCTGTTGTAAGCAAATGAGTTTAGTGCAAAACAAAGAAACAAAAATAATAATAACAAAAATATGGAAAATAGCATTATGCATAATCTTAATAGGAGGGAAAGTTTGATGGGTGCACAACGAAGTGTAAATATCCTACTGAGCAGTTAATAGCCCTGCAAATGATTCGATTAGATTAGAGTTAGAGCTAGTTACRTACATACATACATATGTACATAAATACTTCAACTGCCTAAAGCGAACCAATTTATACTTTGCCTTTTGTATAGGCACAGAATCATCTAAACTATGATTTTGTTTTAAAATGAAACTTTAAATATATTTTTAAGCTCATTGCAATATCAAAATGAAGTATTTTGCTGCTGTTATGTTATCAATTGTCAATTGTCAATTTATTGATCGTAATTAACGAGGCGTGATTTTAGCTATCAGAATGTTTACGATAACTGTCGATAGCAAAAACAAAATAATAATAAATCAAAAAGTGAGTCAACTTTGCCAGCAAATTTTTAATATTTTTGCTGTCTAAGCAAATGCCTAAGCTGTTATGCTGCATTGAATGTTTAGGGTATTCCAGAGATCAATTAAAAATCAAACAAGCAAATGCGCTGCGGCATTGACGCGTGACGCGCTGCGTGTTCAGGCATTGCCCAAGTGCATTCAGCCAAATAGGCTGCAAGCGAGAAAGAGCCTAGTTCGATAGAGAGGGAAAGAGAGGGAAATATAAGCAAATTTATTAGTTAATGCATTTGTATGTATTGGAATTGATGCTAGCTAAGCCTTTAAAAAGTAGCAACAAACCCAGCACGCTGTGATTTGCGTTTGTATACATGCATAATCACATTTATGGATACATACACAATTGCATGCATGTGTGTTGTGTATAGAATAGCAAAAGTAAAGTAATTTATCAAAAGAGCGCGCGCGCAGCTCAATGGCAGCCATTCAATGACGCATGCACACGAGCAAACAAAAGAGAGCGTAATTAAAAGACCGTAATGAAGTGCACGCACACATAAGCAGAGAGCAGAGTGGAGAGTGGAGAGTGGGAGCGCAAGCTATAACTGTTATGTCATCGACAGTAAATGTTCGCTCATCTGTTAAGTTAGGCATTAAGTGATGTAGTTAATCTTTCATATCTATTAACATAATGTTAACCATTCACTTTCTCTGTTACACTTGCAGGGACCGCGCGATGCGCCCAACTATTATATTGCCTGCCAAGCGCCCCTGGTGAGCACTACGAGCGACTTTTGGCGTATGATCTGGGAGCAGCAATCCCGTGTCATTGTCCAAGCGACCGATCTCACCGAGAATGGCATTGAGCGTTGTGCCGAGTATTTACCGCCATCGGTTACACTGGATAATCACAGCAGTTATGGAGACTTCCAGGTGACATTGAAGCATCGCGAAGTCAAGGACAAGTACGCGATCTCAACTCTAATGCTAAAGCGTGTGGATGGTGCCGAGTGCCGTGAGTTGACCCACTATTGGTACAAATGGCCCGAGACGGGTGTACCCCAAGATGAGGCGCCCCTCATTGCGATGCTGCTCGAGGCACGATCCTCCCTTAAATCGTATGCTTTGGAGCAGGCCAATGAACTGAAGCATGAGAAGTCCTCCACGCTGACGCTAAAATCGCTGGAGGGGCAACAGGCGAAGGCAGAGGAGGCCAATGCGACGGCTGCTCAGGAGGAAGCGTCCAGCACATCGAGCAACGAGATTAACGGCAATGTGGCCAACAGGACACCGCGCAGTCAGCAGGGGTGAGTAGACAGAGACAAGAGCAAAACAAAATCCATTTGTCAATTATGTGAGTCTTGTTTGTTTATGTCTCATTGATTGACGTTAATTGTTGCTGTCCATTGTTAATTGTATCTGTTTTTCATTCCTTGTGTGTGTTTCTCATTCTTTGTTTTAGACCGCTAACAGTTCACTGCTCCCCAGGTACGGGCCGTACCGGCACGATCATTGCCTGTGACATGGCTATACGGAGTCTGGAGACCCCGAAGCGTTCGGTGGATATACCCCAGTTGGTGTACTATGTGCGTCGGGGTCGAGCTAGCGCTGTGCAGACCAAGGAGCAATACGAATTTATCTATAAGGTGGCCAATATGTATGCGACCAAAATCACAAATCTGTCAAATGATAATTGAGAGACTGTTCTATATAGAGAGACAGCTGAAACCATTGGAACAAGTCCTTATACATAGAAATGCTGTATGCATATTATAGTCATAGTTCATATATCTTATAAATATTTACAGCTAACTATATATACGTGTGTATGTATATATTTAGATAGTAACTTTATGTATTAGTATATTATGTACCTAGGTATTATCTATGATATATATACACCTGCATGTGCTGGCAAAAATTTCATTTGATTATTGTATGTATTCCTTTATTATTGTGATATATTCGTATATTTGTAAATCTCTTGTATAATCTGTTGCATATTTATAATTAAGGCTTTGTTTATTATTATATTTTTATTAATATTGCGTAATATGTGTTATTTTAAATTAAAGCATTACAAGAACTTATATTAATTTGGCGCAATTTTGTATTTTGGAAAAGCTTTAATATGAATGAAATGTTTAATAAATATTTGGCATATGTTGTGCGTAAACTATAAAGTTTCAGTTCAATTCAAATGTTGGCGGTTCAACGCGTTGCTTACTGCCAAATCGCACGATAGCTAGCTTTATAGCGATAGCTATCGATAAACGATATCTAGTTTTCTGGGCTTTAACAAAACTAAAAGTCGCGTCGAAATGAAGTTGCAAAGTTTATTATTAATATGCGCGCTTTTTGGCGCCGCCGTTGCTAGCGAAACCCCCAAAGTGAAAATCGGCGTTAAGAAGCGTGTGGAAAACTGCACGCGAAAAGCCAAAGGCGGCGACTTAATTCATGTGCACTACAAGGTAACGATGCATAGGATTTGCCGGACACGTCAGTTTTAGTTGTTTATTTAATTCATATGAATGCACAGAGTTTCATAAAGTTAATAAGTGTTTGTCAATACAATTTTACATGCTGTGAGCAAACTGACTAAAACTCAGTTGTAAAGACCTCCGCCACAGTTAACTTTAATAGGCATACATATGTATACCTATCGTGCAATCCAGCTACAGTTTGAGAGTCACTGCACCTGGGGTTATATTTTGAGAGATTAGAAGAGAGCTTTTAAGCACTTAATGTGAATGACATATTTATTAATAGATTACATTTGGCTCCGCAGGGCACTCTACAAGATGGCACCGAATTTGATAGTAGCTACAATCGTGGTAAGCCCTTCTCCTTCACCCTGGGCGCTCGCCAAGTGATCAAGGGCTGGGATCAGGGTCTCTTGGGCATGTGCGAGGGCGAACGCCGCACCTTGACTATACCGCCAGAGCTCGGCTATGGCGCCAGTGGTGCAGGCGGTGGCAAAATACCGCCCAACTCAGTGCTAGTATTCGACGTGGAGATGATGAAGATTGACGCGAAGAATAGCGGGGATGAACTGTAAATCAAAATAAGTAATATTTCCAAATGTACAACAACAGTGTGTTAATAAAAACAAAATATATATTTAAAGCAAGTTCTTGTAAACATAAACTAAGCTGTGTGGCTGTTGTTGGCGTTGGGCCGCTCCTCCACCTCGTCGAAGTGACGTCGCATCATGCGATGCTTCTCCAAGGCGGTTCCCTGTATGAAACGCTCGCCACAGGTGCCACATATGAAGGGGCACTCGCCCGTGTGCTGCTGCAGATGGAGTTTCAGATCCTTCGCCTGGCGATAGCTCTTGTCGCAGTAGGTGCACTTGTGTGGCTTCAATCCGCTGTGCGTCAACATGTGTCGCTTTAGCTTGTCGGACCGGGCGAAATCCTTGCCGCAGACCGTGCAATGGAAGGGCTTCTCGCCCGTGTGCATTCGCCGATGAGACATCATCTCCGAGTGCCGCGGAAAGGCCATTTCACATAGATCACATTTGAACGGCTTCTCGCCCGTATGCCGACGCATGTGGGTGACCAGTGTCGCCGCCGACTGGGTTTCCCGACCGCAGAGCGAGCAGAGGAACTTCTTGATGGCCTCCTTACGCTTCCGATCCCCATTGATGTGCACATCGCGAATGTGATTGTTGAGGCGCGCCTTCATCTGGTACGTGCGATCGCAGTGCGGACACTGCAGCAGCTGCACATCTTCGGCCGCAATAGAGGGATTAGCCGCCACAGCTGACAGCTGATCTGCGCTGGCTGCATCGCTGATGGCGGCCGCAGGAGCCGACTGCGGATCAATGTTGCCATGCTGCAGCAACATGTGCTGCTGCAGATTCTCTGGCCACATGAATTTGTAGCTGCATTTACTGCACGCCAACTTCTTCTCGACGCTTTGACATTGCGATTGCTTGTGCTGATCCATGATGCTCTGGGATGTAGGGAAACAAAGAGCTCAGAATCTCATCTAGACAACAGGTAAAATCATATCTCTCACCTTGCACACACACTTGAATATGCAGAACTCGCATTCGTGCGGCATTTTGTCGAACCGATGCATCGCTCGCTGGTGCTGGATCATCTCGTATTTGCGCTTGCACTGCACTTTGCACAGCTCGCACACGTAGACGGGTCGCGCGCTTGGCGAGCCCCTCGCCTGCTGCATTTGCAGCTCATCCTCCGTTTCAGAATCGCCCAGTTGCAATTCGTACCCGGATTCATTTGTAATCGAGTAGTTTTGCAAGGAATCGTAGTTCTGGTGCAGCGACAAGGCCAGCTTAAGCTCCAGCTGGATGTGCGCTCGCAGGTCACAGATGCGTTCAAAGTGGAGGTTACAAATCTTGCAGGTGATGCGCTTAAGGCCGTTTGGTTTCGCGGTAGCTGCAATTAGCGTCTCGGCGAGCGGAATATCCTGCTCCCGTATACCATGACGCTTCAGATGCTTCACCAAATAATCACGTCGATAGAACTTGCGGGTACACCATTGGCACGGTATGAGTTTCGATTCCTCCGCATGCACGCTGAGCATGTGTACGGTGAGGGATTTCTTCTTGTCGAACACACGCTTACAATCGTTGCACTCATAGGTTTGATTCTGGGAAAGAAATCAATATGGTTTACATATATGGCGTATATAGATCAATATAAAACCTTGCAGAAATAGCAGATCGATTAATGTATTTCCTCAACTATGCTTGATTAATCTACACATGTCTCATATCTGCTGTGTCTGCATGGTAATTTCAATCTTATATCTCTTACAATAATTCGGTGTTCACGTATATGCGCCTTTAGATTGTGACGCCAGCGGAAGCGCAGCGGACATCTGTGGCAGAGGAAACGTTTCTGAGCATTTTTGCACTGCAGCTCGTTGTGTTGTCGCAGCAGCTGCAGGCTAACAAAGCGCGCATCACAGCGTCCGCAGACATGCGGCGCATCCAGCCAGGCGTGCGCCAGACGTTGATGATCAAAGAGCTGGTATTTACGTTGGTAGCGTTCGTTGCACAGTTCACAGGTGTACTTGGCTTTGGGTATGTTGCACTTCAGCTGCTGCTCATCGACATCCCGCTCAGCATCGCTTTCTGTCTCGGAGCTGTCCAGGTCCATTTCATAGCCCGACTGATTGGTAATGGAATAGAAACGTTGATAAATGCCGGCATCCAGGTCTTTGCGTATGAGCGCTTTTAGCTGCTCCACGCTGATATGCTTGGCATCTGGATAGAAGAGCTCGGCCAGCTCGTGCGGCTGCATATTGGAGCGTGCACCAAATCCAACGATATCCGGATGCTGTTCGAGATGACGTCGCAGATCCGCTATCTTATCGTATTGACTCTGGCATATCATACACTCGATTAGCTTATAGCCATGTGGCTTGCACATGTTTAAATCTATATCCTTGGCCTTTTTACTTTCGCCCAGATTCGCCGACCGTTTTGAGTCCCGATGCACCTTCAAATGCGACTGCAGAGCCTCTCGATGACTGAATTTGCGTATGCAATAAGAGCAGGAAAACCAATCGGTCTTTGACTTATGCGCCCGTGTTGCATGCTGCTTAAGATATTCCGGTCGTTTGAAAATCTTGGGGCATTCGGTACACTTGAAAATGGAACGCTTTACAGTGCGAATCGTTCCAGTTTGCTTCCACTTGCGTGCGCGCTGTTGCAAAGGCAAATCATCAAGGGATCTGTAAATAAAAGCATTAGTTAATAATTAATAATAATAATATAATTTTAATATATATATACTCTTCATCTTCAATATCAGCCTTATATTCTTGTGGCTCTTGTGTATTTGGAGTGCGGCCGGCGGTTGGCTCCACTTCCTGTTTTACTGGCTCGAGCATGTTAAGCGGATCATTGGACTTTTTGTTATCCAGCTCCAAGTCCATATCGTTGGCATTTTGTACTGTTGTGAACTCCGGCAGTTCCGTGCAGGTGATATCATTCTCAGCCTCCTCCTCCTCTGTTTCCATTTTGATCTGCATTTATATACATAAATATGTGAATACCCATTTTTAGTTGCGACTTGACGGTGGTAAACCTCCACATGTTGCTCGGCACACAACTCCATGGGCGCCTCCTGCAAACAGTCGTTGACTGTAGTTTTATTGCTCTCCAGGCGGTCCACATGATTCATCAGGAGCTCATTTGCTGTCAGCGCCTGCTTCACATAATAATAGGCGCCTATTAGCTTTCTCGCACAATTACCACACAGACATTGCGGCAGCTGTTGCGCCAATGTTTCATCCAACTGCAATACATACAATTTTTGATCAGAAGCTATATATATTTATGGGTAAACTTACTTCAATGTGCGTTAGTTCAGCTAAAATATCGGAGAGCTGTTTATCCGGAAATCGTTTGGTGGATGTAGCCAGCTTGTATAGTTTATCCGTGTCTCTTGCATCGCATGTGCGACACATGACGGGTAGCTTCATTATGTTAAAGTTTTAATAATTCTTAGCACATTTACAACACAAAACATAACACAACAAAAATTTGCATGTCCTGTTAATTTACTAAATACAGAGCAGTGCAACTGTGATGACACAAGCACAGGCACGAAACAACGATTGCAAATCGATAAGTCACGTGATATCGTATCACATATCGGTAACAGCAAGACATGAATGATTTTTGTATGTCATTCGTCTGACATATTCGAAGTTTTAGTTTTAAGGAGCTTTGCCAAAACAATTTCTTCAATACACCAGATTGACAAGCGAAAAGTAAGTAAACAATTTTTCCAATTATTTAAGACAAGTTTATTTGTTCTTATTAGGTAGTGTGAGTGTGCTTAATTATTGCTTCATCATTACCTATCTAGACTTAGAATATTGCAAATAAAAAACTTCCTCGCGCGCTTTAATATTGTTTTTTTGTGTATATTAAAAAAAAGCTGATATAATTTGTAAACTACTTTTTAGCCGTGCTCTAACTTTTCTTCTTATAAATGAAGTGGAGTGTTGTCTTATGAAAATGAGAAATGAAATTAAAAAGTATCCTCTTGTCAAATCAGATACCCCGCGAACCATACGTCTTGTACCTCTAGTATTTCTTAATAGTTTTCCTAATTAAGGCCAGACGCTGTTTGTGCGCTTCGGTGACCGCAGCACGTTTATACGGACGCAGCTCATCCGTGCCGAAGCCTGGTATCCACATATTATATTTCCGTTCGAAATGCAGCTGTACATCGCGCACCTCGATCTTATTTGATTTGCGATGTTTGGCAAAGGCGCTCGTCGATTTCACGGTATCTTCGACAAAGTCATCGATGATCTGCAGCAACAGTTCCTCAACATCCTCATCCAGCTGCGTGGTTGTGTCCACTTCGCGGACCAGCTCTGTGAGTCGAGGCTTGGTTAACATCTACAATAGAGCAAATAAGGAATTATATGTATGCATATATATTTGTACAGGGGTTGGGTTTGTGCTTACAGGTGTATTCTCTGCGCCCGTTGCTGCACTGTGGCCTGTGCTCTTATTACCACTAGCCCCTGCACCACCGCCACTACCACTGCTACCACCACTACCACCACCAACACCAGCAGCAGAGGCAGATTGAGCCGCTGTTGCACCACCGTTCTGTGTGGATGAGGAATTACTGTTGTTGTTGTTTGTCATGGGGCTGTGCTGTGAGGGCGATGCCATTGGTGTGTCGTGTTGCCCGCTGTTGCTATCGAGAGTGGTAAAAAGATCCGACATTGCGTTTTCGATAGTTTGATTTTTTAATAGATACAAATTGTTTTTGCTCTTTCTTAAATACTCTACTTAGGCAATGGGATTTAGAATTTTGAAAGAGATGAAACCAAAGCGTTGCAGTTGTGTATCGTTGTTGTTGATTGTTGTGTACTGTAATTAGTGTGTATAAGTGCTTGATTTGTGTGAGAGATAGTTTTAATTGCAAAATAAAGGTATATAAAAACAGAGTATAATTTGTATAATGCCAAACATTTCACATTTACATTTATACATTTATGTGCTTGCGTCTACATAGCCATTAAGTACAGTAACAATAAAACACTTACAACTCGAATAATTTATTTGATTTTTTATAATTAAACTGTAAATTTAGTAAGGACAACAAAACAACAAGTACATCTGTCTTGCAGGGTGCTGTAAAACAACCAAACATTGCTAAATCAGTATTAGTGTTGGAAGGCTCAGTCTGATAACTATGCGATACTATGCTGCCATACATCGTTTATAAGATATATAATAATACAAAATAACAACAGATTATTATATTGCTCTGGTTAGCACAGTATATTTCTTCACCATTTTGATTAATGTACCAGCAATATTTATTATAATTATAATTTATTGACATAAAGCTGCCACTTCTTAGTAATCGATAATTAATGCAAGCTAGTCTTATCGAATATTGTGAAATCGAAACGAAGTTCATTGTCTTGAGTTCAAAGAAATTTAAATTACGCATCATTTAGTAAAACGTATATATAATACTTTAAATTCAGTCAAAGGCGAATAGAGAGCGCAGTCAAAATGTCAACGGAGGCGGCACTACTCACTCCAGATATCAAGGACACAAGTGAAAATGCAGAAAGCACTGACGTCAATAATGAGGATTATGTGGACATGACTTTTACAAAGGAAGTGCGTCAAGCGACAAAGGATGTGCACAAGTTAACGGATGTATTAGTCAATGCTAAATTTGCAATTGGTAAATGATCGCCAAGATATAAAAACAAAAGTTCTTTATTCAATCATATTTCTGCAGCTCTATCTGATGATGAGGTCTGGTACGATGGCCTTTTGGTCTTCTACGAATTATATAAATTTTTTGAAACGCATTTGCCAGAAAATCTGCTACCCAAAGAGTTGCATCGCGTCGCTGCGTTTGAGCGTGACTTTGCTTATTTCTATGGCGCCGATTGGAAGAATTCCTATGAGCCGCGTCCAGCTGTCAAGGAATATTTGGCTCACCTGGAAAAGGTGGCGGCCAAAAGCCAGGTGCTACTCTTTGCCTTTGCTTTTCAAATGTACATGGCTCTGATGTCTGGCGGGCAGCTGTTGCAAAAGAAGCGCATGATTGCACGCAAGCTCTGGATCTTTCCCAAAGACAACGCCGAACAGGAGGAGCAGCAAAAGCAAGCCGAAGCAGATGCTGCCGCGGCAACAGCCAAAGCAGCAGCCACCGCTGCAGACGATGGCATTACTGAAAATGATCTTCGTGCACGGCCGATGCCGGTGCAGGTAACCATCTCCCAAGTGGGCTGCGAGGCGACATATTTTCCTGTCCGTATAGCCACACTGAAAATCAAGCTGCGTCGCATTTTCAACGAAGTCTATGGTAAACTGAATGAAGAGGAGCGTGCCGAGTACATTGAAGAGAGTCGCAACGTCTTTCGCATGAATATTAAATTGTTGCGCACAGTCAAAGGCGTGAATCGTGCTAATCTGAAGAAGTTAGCCATTGCGGTTGTTTTTATAGCCGGTATTTATGTGGCTATCAAATTAGCTGTGAAGTGATATGTTATTTTAAAATGTGTTTTTTAATGTTACATTTGAACTTAGTACACTTATAGTATATATGCTTGTTCGAAGCCAAAGGCAATAAAATTTAACGTTAGGTAATCTTATATATCCAATAGACCGCGCCTATTTATCCACGGCATCAGAAGCTCAAAGTGCTTTTTGTAGGTTTCGCTGCTATATAGCTGATCACATAATGCATCGATTGCTGAGCCATCTTTGTCAATTAGATCGGTATCTAGTTCCTCAATGGGATCCCTCAGGCAAAGAGATAAGGGGCCAATCACCGTGCCAGCAGCTGAAACACAAAATTGTTAAAAATAGGAATAATATCAACATAGTTGAGTACTTGCCATGTATGGGATGTTTATGTAAAATTATTTGCAATTCCTTCAAATTGGGAACAAAGCCCGTATATTTTAGCAATTGAACGTTTTCTATTAAATTCTCATGATAGTATCTGATTAGATAGTCGAATTGCTCGATTTTTAAATGCAATTCTGGTGAAGTCATTAAGAAAAAGTAAAGATCTTGTGCTGGATTGCCATATTTTGTCACTTGATGATCTATTAAATAGACCTCTTTCACTCTGCCCTCCTGATCGTGCTGGAACATCACATTGTTTATCCACAAATCTCCATGATTTAACACATTAAACTCCAGTTCATCCACCTTCGCATCCTCAATGCATCTGTCAATGTAGACTTTGCAGTAGGCTTCCTATTCAAAGAAGTTTATTTTTGAATTCATAATTATTATTATTATACATTTGTCACTTACTAATTTATGTGCATATTCCTCAACACCGTTGAAGTTATGTTTCATTCTACCAAAACTCTCTCCGATGGATTCGTAGAGCTTCTGGAAAATTTTCCGTGAGTTTTCGCAAATCTTTCCATCGTTGTATTTGGATGGATAGGGTCCATTCTGCTCCTTGTATTTAAGAGAGGCAGCATGCCACTGAGCAAGTTTCTTGAGTACAGACTTGGTATGGTCCAAGTCAAGGCCTTGTCTGCGATCCGCCATCTTAAATCCAATTCTCTGAAGATTTTCCATTAGTAAGTAGCTTTGCTTGATTGCCTTGTTGAATCTGTAGCTCCTGGGACTAAACCGAATCGAGTGACCCGCTTCCGTGTATAGCTGCTCAAAGGCTGGCACGTATTTTCCATACACCTCCAACTCCTTAGGAAAATAGTTGGCGATCCCACTATCCGCCTGTATTTTCAGCACGAAATCATAGTTCTTTGTACTTTTGTCTAAGAAGTAGTTGGACTTAATCTTGGTTATTGTGTTCACTTTATGTCAGAGTTACCTTTCAGCTGTACTTCTATATTCACTTTGAGCAGCGAGTCGCCATAATTGTCTCCCGGCTTGGTTGCTGTCGTCGAGGTGCCTCCAACAATCTTTTCGAATTGGGGTTCCTGAGCGACAATTAACTCTGCAAAGTCTTGACTATTCAACCAATCCAGATCCAAGTCTCCTTTGGTTTTGTTTTGCTCAACTGGGGCGATGGATGGTGCAGCTGCGACTGGCAGGGTTTGTGGTGGTTCGCTAAAAAGAACATAATTAGTCTGATTTAAACACTCATTATGTAGAGCTTAACTTACTAGATCTCCAATAAGCCCCGATTGTCCAGCCATTGCAGAATCTGCTCAATGCAGTGCTGGTATCGCTTGTTCGTGTACATTTTGTGCTTGAAGTCTACTGCCGCTTCGGTATCTCCAAGGAAGTTCTCGAACGTGGCCGACTCCGTCGGATCGAGGAGCACCACAGGCAGCACCAAATAGCAGGCCATGATGGACCAGCAGCCGTATTTATAGGTCTCCATTTGCAGCTCCACCAACTTGGGCACACGCTCCTTATAGTCGAGCAGCTTGAGATGCTTAACCAGCTGATCGTGATAGTATTTTATGAAGTAGTCAAAGTAAGTTAGCTTGTAATTCATGTCCACTGAGGTCATAATAAAATATAGAAGATCTGTGGCAGGATGGGCATATCTGGGATTCTGGAAATCCACAAAAAGCATATCCTTCAGATTTCCAGACTGATCGAACTTGAAAAGTAAATTGTTGGCCCAACAGTCTCCATGGTTGATGACATTAAACTCATGAGGTTTTGCCATTCCCAGAGATATAAAATTTTCGCGCATTTTCTCAAAATATGTTGCCTGAAAGCAAATATAAGTATGCTAAGATAAGTGACTTCCAAATCATAAATGATTTTCTTACCAATTTCTTATGATATTTATATCCGTCTCTATAATTCTTTACATTCTCAAGGAAAACTTTCTGCGTAGGTGCAAACATAGTGTTCAACAGGTCCATAGCCTTTTGAACATCTGATCCAAACAGGCCGTACATAATACTATCTGTATATGGTCCATGAATGCTTTTGTAGACAGCGCTCGCGGCGTGATATTGAGCAAGTTTTCGAAGCACCAGCTCGGCCTGTTCTACGTTGAGGCCCTTTACACGATTCACGTTCTTATATCCATCCTGACCCAGGTCGTACATGAGAACGGTGTTTTTGAGTTTGGGCTCGTTCTTGACGCCTTCCTTGAATCTGTAGGCGCGGGGTGCAAGGATTATATCTAAACCTTTCGACTTGTAGAGCTCCTCGAATTTCGGTATCAGATCTATGTAGACCTCATTCTCAACATCGAAGAAATTGGCCACTTTCAGCATTTCTTGCATTTGAACAGAGTCGTGCGGTACTTTCATCATAAACGAAACGGGTTTTATCGTCTTATCTGGTTGAGAATTAAAAGAGAAACTATACATTATAATATCGGATAAGGGATCATCTCTTAATGCTTGTTTATCTATTCTGACTTGTAGGATGAAAAATCAATTTTCCTAGCCTCTACAGCCACTTTAAAACTTATTGGTGCTTAAATAAATATGATGATGACTCTGTTGAAGTTATGAGTATTGAAAATAGCTTTATATCAAACTAATCAACGCAAAACGTGATTGATCAATATTTAAATACATATGTACATACATGCCTGATATATCTATTGTATTTTATTATTATTTTTGTTTTCTAAATTTTACATTTCAGCATAGCTCGTAAATGAGTGTTGATCGTTTTTTCTTATATGCTCTGCTTCATAACATGACCGAAAACATCATGCCGACACGATCTCGCTCTGAGCGGCTCTCTTTGTTTTGTTTAGAATCGGTTTCTGTCAAACGCTTCGCATTGACTCATTCGTGTGACGTTCTCAGATGAGTGTAGCGTAAAGAGTATTACAATTTTCGCTCCCACAAAGACTCTCAGCAAAAGACAATTTGACTAAAAAACTCAACAGAAATGACCTTTGCCTTCGTGTGCAATGACAACGAAAAAGTGTCAACACTCATTTGTGAGCTATGCATATCAGGCATTGCTGGTATACAATATTGCTCGTTTGCTTACTCAATATCGTCTTGCTTTTGGTACACTTAGTCGATTTGTTCGATAACAGAAATGGCTTTGATGCCAGCTGTTAATTTGACAATGATCGAAGGCAGTAGTCTGTCTGGATTATCTTATTTCATAACGCTGCTCAATATTAAGCTCTTTAAAACAAAGTCATTTTCAGGAGTGTTTATATAATTTTTAGGTATCCTACATACATATATATATATTTATAAATGTTTGTATGTTAAAAAGTTTTGTCTTAGGCTGATAGTCATTTATCAGAAACAGTTGGTCCTAAATTCAAACTTAACAAAAGACAAATTGCGCAGCGGTAGTATCATATAGATATGTAGATATATATGTTATCTCTAAGCTTATAAGAGTGTGTATTTAGGTTATTAAAGAAATAAAATTAGATAACATGAATGTTATACTTATACACAATTGAAATCTTTAGAAGTTAGTGTAGAAAACATGCTAGATACCGATATTCTAGCTGCTGTTCTAATCATTATTGAAATACGCAAATATAATAAAGTGAACAACAATTTAAATTTACATTTCACTCACCTATCAGCTCTACCTCAATTTTTACTCTCAGCATGAGGGTCGCATAGTTCTCTCCAGCTCCCATGGCGGCTTTCGCATTAAAGCTGCGAATCTCTGAGAACTGGGGTACGTTTTGAGAGAGTATTTCCACAAATTGCGATTCATTAATCCAATTGGGAACGGGCGTCGCAGTGACCACCACTGGAGGAACATCGGATACTGTTGTTACGCTGGGTTTTGACTGAGTATCGTTCACTGGCGCTATGCTAGCCTCTGGCTTTTTCTTGCTATTATTGAGACCCATGGCAGATATAAAAACTAATAAAGATGTACAGCGATTGCGCGATATTTCGTCCGTACGTCTGTACGGTTGGACAAATGATTTTCAACTGAGCACTTGTTATTATAATTACGTTGATATTTATACCGAAGATTCACGGATACTATCAGTCTGATAGGCGCTACAACAACTATTTTATCAGCCTTTGTTGGCCATTTAAGTACGAAAAAAAAAAAAAAAAAAAACACATTATTATTGAATATGTAACAAGCCCCATCAACGACAATTTAATTATAATTTTATAAATGCTAAAAGCAAATAGATAACAAACTGCAACAGTATTATTCAATCTAACAGTGGACTGTTGAAATTAACTAGAATGATTTGCCTGAGGTCTATACAACAATGACTTCTACTATATTTGTTCGTATGTCGAATGCTTCATATACTATACATGTCGAATGCGTCATATAATTCATTTTTCGTATCTCTGCTGTAGACTAGTTTGGTACAAATTCGAACTTGACCTTGGACTACTATTAATAAGAATATAATATAAAATAAATATTCTAAATATACTTCACTGTTATTATCGAAGTTGGATGCAGCGGAATCAATGATCTTGTTGAATCGTCATTAGTGAGGGATTTTTGAGGTCTAATTTTCAATAGATGCACATCATTTAAATTTCATTAAAAAGCATCAAATAACAGAAGTTATATATTTTTGTAGCTTTTAGGTCAGTCTCTTGCCATTACTAATGACTTTTATTTAGACTCATTCACGAAAATGAAATGAGTATATTTTTATACCCTGAACCCATTGAAAATGGGAAATCAGGGTATAATGGTTTTGTGAAAAAGTATGTAGAGATTTTTTCAATAGCTCGTCCGATAACTTTGTTATCGAGAATAATCGAAAAATTGATTTGGGGTTTTCAGCCTAATTAAAACACTTTTAGACATAGAGACTTCAGATTTATTGTGTATATACAGTTGATCGATACGAAGATTTTGTAATTTACAGATTTTGGATACCACGCCTTCGCCCTCCATTTGTAAAAAACGCATTTCAAATACTAGAGACTTGTGCTTTGAAATGTACACACATTTTCACTATATAAGTACGAGAAATTATTCAACAAATAAATTCTCATAATATTGCCCATAATATTGCGCAGTCAGCAGAGCGCGTTATATGTGCATGTGGATGAGTGTGCATACATTTGTGTATAAAAGTGCAGAATGATTTCAGGGTAGGTTTCAGGGTATCTCCTAGTCGAGCAGTCTCGACTAGAGCCTTCTTACTTGTTTTTTTTTTTTTTTTTTTTTTTTTTTTTTTTTTGATAAGACACTATCAAATTTGTGTTTCATTCCTTCTCATAAACTTTAAAATGGCATGAAACAACGGAAATAAAATATTTGTTGTAGTTTTTAGGTCAGTTTTTGCCGAAACTATGGCGCCGAGGAAACAAATTGTTATAGTAATTTTAACCAAGTGTAAATTATTAAAAACCAATTTAGGTCAAATGAGGATCAAATTAAGCTCGTATTTATTATTAGTTATTAGTTTTAAAATTACTTTTATGTTCATTAAAATAATCCTTTACAAATTAAAACCATTTTTTTTTTTTTTTTTTTATAATGAAATTTGTAATTTGGGTTTTATTATAAAACTGTTTTGTGGAAAAATGGTATAATTAAATGTGTATTACGCTGAATTAAAATAATAAATGATATTAAAATGTTAGCTTAAAGCCTGACGGGCTATAGAGCTTTGCGCTTATATCCGCGGATTGAACAGTCACCCAGTTATTCAGCGTAATAGCTGATAGCTGTAGCGTTTTCGTTATTTAGTTTAGTGTGGAAGGATTGGACTGGGATACAGACCTCTTGAGAAATTCGATATGAAGGCTTATATGATAATAGCGATATATCTACTACAAAGAAACTGAGTGTAGCATGGGATATCACATCAACGAGGAGGAGCATTATGAATATCCCTTATATACTGTTTTGATGTTCGTTTCGCACCTATGGTACCTGGTCCCAGTAACTACAACAGTGGAAATTAAAATTGATGTGCATTTATTGTCATTTTCTTAGTCGTGTTTGTTTTTGCTTATTAATTCCTCCCATTTCCCATTTTCAATGGGTTCAGTCTATAGGTATAGTGTATAATGAGGTACGTATATTTTTTTTATAATTCAAATCTTATAATTTCATTTCTATTTTGTAATAAGAATTAAATAACACAAATATTTAGAGGCGGTCCAGTAAAATTTTACTCAAGATCTAAGAGGCCTTTGCTATTTAGCCAAGGATAGATCGCCTCAGCATGTTTACGATATCTGTCGTTGCAATAGAGCTTATTTTTAAACTCCTGGCTCTCCTCATTGGTGCCCATCATGGTATCAATGCTCGCATTTTCGGTGGGATCGACCAGTACCGCCGGCATTATCAGCGCCGTTGTAGTTACGGCGCTCAAGGGATTCTTCAGCAGAATGGTATGGAGCTCGCTGAGCGTTGGTATGTGTCGGGGATACTTTAACAACTCCAGATTGCGCTGCAGCTCGGTGTGATAGTAGCGTATAAAGTAATCGAATTTCTCAAGCTTTATATCTAGACTAGGTGAGGACATTAGTAGGTAATACAAATCAACGGCGGGACTGTTGAAGGTCGATCTCTGGAAGTCCACAAAGAGTGTGTCCGTAATCTCGCCCTCTGCATTGTATTTGAACATCACATTGTTTGTCCAGCAATCGCCATGATTGATGCAATTGAATTGGGTTTCATCATAGACGCCTGCTTTGATTTCATAATCGAACATATTGTTCAGTATTTTGGCCTGTGGATAAAAAATAATTATTAATATTTGAATGGAGTAAGAAGTGTCTTTTTCATTTTGTATTTAATCTTCAGCTATAGTATATAACTTACCACCTTATCGCCAAAGATTTCGCTGCCTTTAAGGCTTCGCATTGCCTTTATATTTGCAGCGAGTAAAGCTTTCGCAAAATCATTTTCATATACGGGACGTATGCTCTCAGTGTAGATCGACTTATCCAGGCAGTCAGCATAGCGTCCTTTGGTTACATAGAGCTGTGCGGACGCGGCATGTAGCAGGGCCAATTTGGCCAAGACCTGCTCTGTCTCCTTAACACTCAGTCCCTGTAGGCGATTTGCGTTTTTGTAGCCCGCTAGACGAAGATTCTGTAAGATAATGTGATCGCAATCGGGCCTACTCGGCAGGCTATAACTCTTGGGAGCAAAGACAACGGACTGGCCAGCCTGCTTGTATAGCTGCTCCAGCTGCGGAATGACATCGGTGTACATGGCTATTTCCTTCTTGAAGGTTTGCATCATGTCGAGAATCTCTGCTTGTTTCGCTGGTGGAACTTTCAGCATGAAAGACTTACTCAATGTTTGATCATGAACTGTTTGGAAATCAATATCGACAGAGAGCATTATGGAGGCGTAATTATCACCCCCTTGGGTGGCTTTCTTAACACGGAAATCCCGAATATCCTTGAAGTCGGGAATCTCTGCTTTAAGCAGCTTTACGAAATAGTCTTTGTTCACCCATGAGGGCACACTCGAGTCGATCTCAACCTTCTCAGCTGAAGGAATTGTTGGCACAGCTGCAGCTTGGACTGCTTGCGGTGGCTCGCTAAAGAAACAATAGTATTGTAAAGTCAGCTCTGGACCTCGATTATATAGCGTAACTTACCAGATCTCTAATAAGCCGCGGTTATCCAACCACGGCAGAATCTGTTCGATGTACCGTTTATATCGTTTGCTCGTGTACATTTGCTTCTTGAAGTTTGCTCCTGCCTCACTGTTACCAAAGAAGTTCTCGAATGTGGCCGACTCCGTCGGATCGAGCAGCACCAGAGGCAGCACCATATAACAGGCCATGATGGCCCAGCCGCCATACTTATAGGTCTCCATTTGCAGCTCCATCAACTTGGGTACAGGCTCCTTATAATCGAGCAGCTTGAGATGCTTAACCAGCTGATCGTGATAGTATTTTACGAAGTAGTCAAAGTAAGTTAGTTTGTAGCGTATGTCCACTGAGGTCATAATGAAGTATAAAAGATCCTGTGTAGGATGACCATATCTGGGATTTTGGAAATCCACAAAAAGCATATCCTGCACCTTTCCAGACTGATCAAATTTGAAGAGAAAATTGTTGACCCAACAATCCCCATGGTTAATGACATTGAACTCATCAGCTTTGGGCATGCCCATTTCAATAAACAATTTGTTGATTTTCGAAAAATATGTTTTCTGAAATTTAAAATTAAAATGCTTAAGGCATGTTCTTTAATACAAATTTGATGTGCTACATACCAACTTCTCGTGATATTGTTCGCAGTTTTCATAGTTTTGTAGAGTATCTAGGAAAATGTTCTGTGTCGACACAAACATTCTCTCCATTATAGCTATAGCTACCTGAGGATCTTTACCAAACATGCCATACATAATAGTATCGGTGTATGGTCCGTGAATGCTTTTGTAGGCAGCGCTTGCGGCGTGATATTGAGCAAGTTTTCTGAGCACCAACTCGGCCTGTTCTACGTTGAGGCCCTTGAAGCGATTGGCGTTCTTATAACCATCCTGACCCAGATCGTACATGAGAACAGTGTTTTTGAGTTTGGGCTCGATCTTGACGCCTTCATCGAATCTGTAGGCGCGAGGTGCAAGGGTTATATCTAAGCCTTTGGACTTGTAGAGCTCCTCGAATTTCGGTATCAGATCTATGTAGACCTCATTCTCAACATCGAAGAAATTGGCCATTTGCAACATTTCTTGCATTTGAGCAGTGTCATGGGGCACTTTCATCATAAATGAATTGTGTTTGACGGTATTATCTAATTTTAAAATTGTAACCAAAATAATCATACTATAATATCATTCCGTATAATCAACTAGAAATATATATAGTTTTTTTTCTGCCTCTCCAACGAATATAACGGCCTATATACGTAAAGATTTATTGCTCGCTATTTATTTTTCTATCTCGTATTCCAAAAAATTAAAAGTCATAGCTGAAATTATAGATTTTGGCCTCCATATAGGAACCTAGTATTTATAATCTTATCTGAGAACGTATTGGCGTGTGCAGACCTCCTGCGAGTGTAGCAAATTTAATTTTAGCATTCATTCATTCATTGAATCGGATTTTTTAATCACTCATTTTTACGTTTTACTAACCTTTGAGTTCTACATCGATATTCACTCTTAGCATGAGGGTCGCATAGTTCTCGCCAGCTCCCATAGCGGGCTTTATATTGAAGCTATGAATTTTAGAAAACTGGGGCACAGTTTGGGTGAGAATTTCCACAAAATGTGCTTCGTTAATCCACTGGGGGATGGGCATTGCATTCACAATCTCTGGAGCTGCACTTGGCTTTGTTGCAGATTCCACTTCATATTTCTTTTTTGACTTGCTAAAGCTTAGACCCATTGCTGATCTTCAATACAAATATTTAGTGATATTCAAACGTCTGCACGGTTAGACAAATAACTTTCAACTGAGCATTTGTTATAACATTTACGTCGATATTTATACCCAGCCTTTACAGATAACTGCTGATAAAACTAATCATTTTGTCAACTGGTGGCATAAAATAAAAATTTTATTGTGTCACCATTCTAATAGATTATGATTATCAAATTTTTTTTTTTATTTATTTAACTGTTACAAAGAATTAATTCTAAATAACAAAGTTTGAAGCCTGAGCAATAAGGGTCTTCAGGCCTTCAGGCTTCCCATATATATTGTAAATATAACCACGGATATCTTATGTTTTTATTGCAGTTGATATGAGAGGTCAAAACTACAGAAAACTCTCTTAGTATCTTTTTACTAAAGCTCACCATATAGATCTTTACAAAACTCATACATACTACTACATACTGTCAATCTCAATCAATGAATATGAAACTGGCTATTAATATAGATCATATAATATAATATAAATCATTTTAATATAATTACAACCGTATCGAATTGCTTATAAATCTATTGTTGGTAGAATCACAATGACTATGTACTACAATTATAATAGTAGAACTTTTCCCATAATTTGCTCGGCTATCTAATCGCCATACACTCAATTTTACTACTGATTATATTTATATATATAAGTGTAAGAACTCCGTTTGTGTGTGCGTCAGTGATTGTAGATTAAAATGTAGCTCACTTTTTTGTGTTTCTGAAAGGTCTATGACCGTATGGGGCCTGGCAGGCCCCAGAACGTATTGTAAATATATTTTAGATCGGCACGATGAACTGAGGCGATCTAGCCACATCTTTTTAAATGATCTCGAAAGCAAAAAATCTAAAGACCAATATGATGGAATTATAACTCTTTTCGGAATAAAACATGTTCTATAATTAAGTTTCCATAGTAAAGCCTATGAATGCACAAACTTTGCATAAATATCAGTTCTGCACATTATTATTATCATAAAAATCCCCAATATTAATGTACGAAATGTATTTAAAAATATTATTTTGATGAGGATCTGGGTTTATTACTTTAACAAAAAATTTAAAATCTCAAGCAAAATGTATTTGTTGATAAATAATTAATAAACCTAGTTCATTTGAAGAACCCAAACTCTTGAATCTGTAATCCTAACCTCAAGAGATGATTTATCGAATTGAATGCTACAAATCCAGTAGACCACGATTATCCAGCCAGGGCATTATTTGTTCAATATTTTCTTTATAGCGCACATTCGTATATAACTGGCTCTTGTACTCCATCGGTTCCTCACTTTGATCTAATAGAACGATGGGTAACACCATCACAGAGGCTGTAATCGCCCATATACCATATTTATAGAGTTGCATGTGGAGTTCGCTTAAGGTGGGCAAACGATCCTTATATTTCAGTAATTTCAGATGCTCGATTAACTGATCGTGATAATACTTAATGAAATAATCAAAATCCGTTAGCTTGTAATCTATGTGTACCGAGGACATGAGGAAGTTGAGCAAGTCTGTCGAGGGATGGCCATATTTTGGTAATTGAAAGTCCACAAATTTCATGTCCTTCAGATTGCCATCGGTGTCGAATTTAAAAAGTAAATTGTTTATCCAACAATCACCATGATTGATAACATTAAATTCACTGTCATCAAAGACACTAAGACTTAAAAATTTGCTGCTCATTTTGGCGAAAAGTTTTGACTAAAATAAAATAAAAAATTATATAATATTAAATTGGATTGAGGAACACCTCTACTTACAAACTTATCGTAGTACTTGTCGCCATTTTTAAAGTAGTAGATATTTTCCAAAAACATTTTCTTAAACGGGCCCATTATACCCTCTAATATGGATATAGCTCTGTCCTTGTTCGATGCAAACATAGTCTGCGTAAAGAGTTCCGGATAGGGTCCGTAGAGGGATCTGCATTGTGCACTAGCTGCATGATACTGGGCCAGCTTTCGTAAGACCAACTTGGTCTGTTCCACATTAAGGCATTCCAGGCGATTCACATTTCTATACCCATCCTGGGTCAGATCGTACATGAGCACCGTATTCACCAGCTTCGGCTCCTTTCTCACGCTCTCCGAGAATTTGAAGGCACGTGGAGCAAAGGTGATGTCCAGACCTATTGACCTATAGAGTTCCTCAAACTTGGCAATTAGTTCCGTATAGGCAGCGTTCTCAACGGTAAAGAAGTTCACAGTCTTTAACATCTGTTGCATTTTTGCTGATTCGTGGGGTACTTTCATCATAAAAGCCAATGACTTTGTGGATTTATCTTAAGAACAAAATAAAAGATAATTCAAATGAAGCGGTTTTACGAGTTGGGACTAACCTGTTAGCTTCACGTCTATGGCTATTCGCAATATCAATGAGGAATAGTTCTCACCCGCACTTGAGGCGGGCGATATATTAAAATTTTGAATTTTCGAGAACTGTGGCACATTGGCACTTAGGATTTCTAAAAACTGTTTCTTGTGGATCCAATCAGGTACTAAATTCGAATCGATAAAATTGGACGCCTTAAACTGAGGACTGATCTCTGCATTGACATTTCGTACTGTTTCCATAGGGATGGACTTCTGGAAATTGCTTTGATTGTTTTTAGTACTCTGTGTTTTGTTCTTCTGTATTTTCTTTGAACTGCTCTGACCCATGTTGTTACATTGAACTAAATACAGAAACTTTTACAACTGTAGAGAAGAGGAGAGAAGTACAAATTACTAATGAAGCTGGTATATTGAAAAGATTGAATTCAATCTATTTGGCTAGTTGTCAGGCATGGTAAACACCTGTATTATTCAACTGAGCTTAAGCCCATATTGAAGTGACTAAACGTAATTCTTGTTCAGTATAAAATGTTCATTAAAGAGTGAAAATTACTAATAGAGTATCTCCTATTTCGCAGATGTAATCTCTTCCAATCTGTTGCCTATCCCATAGACACTTACTGACATATCTTATTTTTTTCCCAATCGGCAGCCATATTAATCTAATTAACATGACTAGGCCGGTATATTCCTCATCTTTCTGTTACTTTTATGAATATCCGTTTTAATACTGAAATTTCTACTGTTTATTTTCCATTTTTGAGCCTACTATTTCTATTTCTTTCTAAAATGACAGTTAACAAATGAAAATTTATTCAAATCAGTTTTTATATCAATATTTTATTTATTGATCTTTAATGTAAATTATTACATTATTCGATTCGTTAATGGTGAAGATTATTTATAAACAGTAAGTACTTCCATCCTTATTTTTTTCTTTTGCAGTTCCTTGTAGTTCATCGGCGTTGCATTGGGTCGGTTGCTGTTGTCCTTCGTATTTAAGAGGGCAGCCTTTTCCAAAGTATCTTCAGGCAATCTCTTATAGTGATCCATTGCAGAAAGCGATTTCAATGCAAAAAACGCGTTAATCAACCTGATTGCTTTAAGAATAATAACTGTCAGATCATTCAAGAAGTAAATTAATTTATACAAAAATTATTGTCATAGGTCTTGCTATTATCCATCAAAAGCTTTCCCTTTCAACAAGTACACGGAAATGCTCTTAATCTTATCTTCATCTAATAAAATGTCTCAATTCTGTGAAAGATATCAAATTTGTTTGGTCAAATGATGAAATAGGTGATGAAATTTTCAGATTCTTATCGAAAAAGCTCTTAAATAAGCTACTTCAATCGGTATTACGTAAATAATACCTTCATCATTATCAGCTGTAAACTTTGAAAATGCGAATGTAGATCATATTGATTTTGTGAAACTAAATATAGCAGTCGAAAGGAGACAGGTGGCAGACAACGTTAAGTAGATATTCTTGAGCAACCCAACGAGTCTGAGTTTTTCTACCCGTCCAGACACCATAATAGCAAAAGGCTTGGGAATTGTACTTGTAGACTTTGGATACCCCCGTTTCCCTCTCAGGGTTCAGAGTATCTCGGTTAACTGATTTTAAATAATTATACATAACAAAAATATGTTGATATTTAGTATAAGAGAGGCATAAAATACTGTTCCAAGTGAGTTTCATCTAGCTGTATCCGAATTAGAAATCGGAATAGCCCGATTACAGCAAATGAGGCACAAGCACCAGAAGTAAAACTTTCTCTACTATTTTCCGCAGTTCCTAAACTCCAAGTTCATTCATAAATATAAAATTCTTTTGGACTCTGATATTAGTAATTAGTACTTTATAGACTGCATGCCTCTTATACATATACTCTGTATCCATATACAATAGTATGTCGTAAATCAAATATGCATAGTTTGTAGCTTTGTTCTTTTTGGCTTAATACAGATATTGAAAAAATTCGTTGGCGTGTGCCATTCCTTATCAGGAAAAGAATACGAAAATACGAGCACAATATTTTTTGTTATCGCTTGGTCTTGTGCCACCTTATCAGGTAAACTTGATTACAAAACTGCGTTCTTAAAGTGGGCAGATGGCAACAGTTGTTGATAAAGACTAATCAAACTTATTTCTTTGGATTGCTCTTTGTTGAATCACAATGACTTTATTTTGTTTAGGAGTAGGCGTGTCAGATCCTAGAAAGTTTATATTCTTACAATGATTACAATTGATCTGTCCATATGCAAGCTGCGATCTCGTAAGCCATATTTGAAATATATATTCGCTCTATCGATACCTTATCCTTTATCGATACAAATTGATTTAGATATGTATGTATATATTTCAGACTGGATACAAAATATACATATTTTAAATAGTAGACTTTTTCTTTGACAATATAAATATAATCTTCTTCTTCCTTAATATATGCTTCTAAAATTTGTACATTTATCTAGAATTAGATATCAAAGTTGTCTCTCATGTAATATTTAGTTTTGTACACAAATAGGCCGCGATTGTATGCCCATGGCAGCAGTTGTTCGTATTGATGTACCACACTGCGATGCCCAAACATGGTCGTCCTCAGTTGATCGCCCTCGCTCTCTTGGTCCATCTTGTATCCATATTCGTCTTTTCGCTGGGATCGATGAGCAGGAGAGGCAGCAGAAGGGATATAACAGGGTAGGCTATAATATTTGAGATAAATATCAATTTAAATAATAATTCAGATGTTTGCTCACCCCAATCGCCATGATTTAAGATTGCAATGTGCAGTCCCGTCAGTGTCGGCATTGGCTGGCTATAATCCAAAAGTTTAAGGTATTCAACTAGTTTGCTGTGATAGTAAAAAACGAAGTAGTCAAATCTGGAGAGCTTAAGCTCAAATGAAACCGAAGAGAGCAAAACGTAGATCAAATCCTGTGCGGGGGAGCAATAGCGACTCATTTGCAGATCGATAAAGTATGTTTCTGTAATTTCCCCATGTTCGTCATATTGGAACATGATGTTATTGCAATGCAAGTCGCCATGATTGAGACAACGGAACTCTCCCTCAAACTTAGGCGCACGGGCCTGGAACATATCCGGTGCTTTGGAAGTGTAGGTTTGCTATAATGCAATTAGATGATAATCGTACAGGGATTTCAGTTTAAATTAACTTACTAGTTCGCTCTCCATATAAGCAGCGTTGTAGAGTGGCAGCGCCTTGATCAGAGAGTTGGCCTGCGTCTCACGGAATTCTTGGAACTTGTCCTCTTCACTGCAAAGATTTCGATCGTACATTTCCGGATAGGCGCCTTTCAACTCGAAGCGAACTGCAGATGCTGCATGAAATTGAGCCAATTTATCGAGGGCCGCTTTAGCATGCGCCATATCGAAGCCCTTCTGGCGATTCACATTCTTAAAACTTCGATTTCCTAAATCCTCCAAAGTGATCAACTCGGCACTGGCTGGTTTCGTTGGCTGATAGTACTTGGGACCAAATGATATCTGTTTGTTTTTTTTCATAAACATTTGCTCGAACTCGGGTATATAGCTGCTGTAGGTTAGCTTCTCCTTATCGAAGATCTTCCAGCTGGCAATCATATCTCGTGTGCTTGAAGTGGTAGGTAACAATTTAACCATATACGAAGTTGCTGTTTGGCTCCCATCTTTAAGTTTTATATATAGTAATAATACATTTATTTAAAGTTTCTACTGACCATTAAGTTCCACAATAATCTTCACGCGCACCACCAAACATGTAAAGTTTTCACCCTCGCCACTTGTTGGCACCACCTCAAAGTTCTTGATGGCTTTGTAGTCTTTAAAGTCGTCTTGGAGGAATTCTTTAAACATCTGCTCATCCAACCAACTTGGAAAGTCGAGCAACTTTTGTTCATCTGACATTGTCATGATGTTTCCTGTGAGAAATTTTTGTCTATACTGAGAGTTTTTATTGATACTACACACATTGCGCTCACTGTGTCGCATGTTTACAAACAAAGAATTAGCTTTCAAGTTGATTTGCTTAAAGCTTTTTAAAATTACGCCAGAATAATAAATATGCTAAAGCTTTAAAGCCCTCTTACATTGGAAATTACGTTGCATTATTTTAGTATCTAAGCTTTTAAAATAATAAAATAAAATACTGAATGTAATGTTTACATTGCAAAAAGCTGTTTTCGCTAACATTATAATATTATAATATTATCTAAATTGATCTTGGATCTTTGTGAGCTCTACTTTACTTTTTATAATGTTTAATTCAATACAATCAAAGTCAGATCGTTTTAGTTCTATTGCAGAATATATGAATCTTCATCGGATAATTTCCAAGCATCTGTTGGGCTCATTTATCATGCCGTCAAATATATATTAGATTTTTCTCAATATACTCAGAAAATCTCGACGTTTTTGTGCAAATTTCGCTGAAAATTGTAACAAAGTTCAATTAATTTGTCACATAGATTTGACATGTGCACAATAGAGCCGAGGGTAGGATTGGCGCGGATTACGCACATCTCAGAAATTGTTCATAGACTCGCAGATTCACTATGGCTAATATTTATTAAGCAAGAATCATAGTTCATATAAGCAAAGGACAAAGGACAGGAATTTGAAGTAAAATCTATTTAGCTAAAGCTTCTCACACACAGCAGGTGGTCAAGTGTGTGGGATTTGAAGAGCTTACTCTAAATATAACATGACTCTGACATRAGACGCTAATCACAGACACGTGAGCACACTTCATAAAGGCAAAGTCAGTCAGCAGCCCTCATGGCAGGGGTAGGGAGTGGGGTGACCATGCTAATGCGGCATGAAGTGTCACGAATTCATCAAAACATATTGCCAGCTACCAATGCACCCAAAACAAGATCAAATTAGGGTCGCAGCGTAAATGATACAGTTGCAGTCAAACCACCC